AATATTTAATATATTTACTGCTAATTAATTGTTTATATATTATGAATAAATTTACACAAATTAAAATTCCTTCCATGAAATAAATATATTTTTTAAATAAAATAATTTAAATAAATACTAAAATATCCCATTATTTGATATTTAACTTAATGAATATTATTCTTAAATAAAATGATTTTTTAAATAAATATATCCATATTTAAGTATATAAATATGTAATATTAGTTTTAAATAAAACATAGAATTTTGTTTTGCAATAACCAGGTATTGAAAAAAAATTCTGCAAATAACCATGTTTCGGAGAAAATTACGTAAATAACCATGTTTCAGAAAACTTCACAAGGGAGGAGTCATCTCAATTGGCGCCTACACCTTATTTTAAAGGGGAGATGCCATCTCACTTGGCGCCTAGGTGTTAAATTTGTATCCTAAGTCAAGTGAGATGGCGCCTTAGTGTAATGGGGAGGCGATTTTTCGCGTTTTTTATTTTAAATGCGGTACATTACGTAAACGATATAGGATCGCGAAAATTCGACTTTTTATTTACACAATATGATTACACAAAATGATTACATAAAAAATACAAATAATCAGTGGTCCCTCGGTTCCGCATCCCTGTCCTCGCCTTTACCGTGGTGGGTTTTATCGTGTTTCCTGTTGTGGCAGGGTCGATGGTCCAACGAAGTCAATGCATTCCTGATCCATAAAATCGGTCAGATCCCCATATCTAGAAGATCCGCTTTGGTACAATCGGTTACCTATACCCTCAAAATTTGGTTGTGTTGGTGGTGGATGGGGTTCCATGGTTGGTCTATAGGACTAGTCGTCTGAGTACGGAGGGTAGAAAGGAAATAAAACCTGGGGTGTTTGGTATTGGGAATGTTGGGTGCTTTGGTGATGTGGTGGTTGATGGTAAGTTGGGTCGGTTGGTTCATAATCTTTGGAAAATCCCAGATCAGGGCTAAGGTTAGATGTTGAGGGGCCCATATTGAGATATGTAAAAGACTGGAATTGTGTGTGGGGCATGCAGGTGTATTGGTATTGTGATTGGGTGTGAGACATATGGTGGTATTGGTATTGAGGTGGTGATTGTGGTTGGTTGTGGGGCATGTGGGTGTAATCGTATTGTGGTTGGGTGTTTGTGGTTCTGTTTCGTTGGGGAGGTTAGTGGGAGGTTGATGTGTGTTTGGTTTGTTGTTGGGGAAATAAGGGTTGTGCCCATTGTGTTCGTGGGTCAACCAAATACCTTGGATGAGACACGTGCATTTCTGGGGTACTAACCGATATGTACCAAGCTAAATATTGATCCGTGTGTCGCATATTACCATGGTTGAGGAAAACTGAGAATTGCAAGACATGTCGGTGACGCCTCTGCCACATCTTACACCATTCTGGAGCAAAATCTTTCCAGTTGGTAAGACCCCATTGGGTGTCGACCCTTTTGAGATGCCACAAAGATAAATAAGTTGGATCGCAGGGTATATCTTGATGCATTCTAAACTGCATCTTGACACAGTCGTTGTGTGTGTTCTTTAATTATATTAGCATTTATGTCCAAACAACGCCAAAAATTAGCATATGTCTTAGGATCAAACTGATTGATCCTGCGAGTAACAAAAAATGACCCTTTTTGGAAGATCAGCGGTTGTTTACCGAATAACACGGAAAATATCTCTTCCCTGTAAACCCCTTCCTGTGTTCAAGAAAAGGGATACCAAAAAGAATTTCAAGTTTCTGCCTAAACCTTATTACTACAAAAACTGTTCAACACTAGTTTCTTTTCAAGAAGGGAGGAGAAATTAGAAAGAACTATAGTGAAACTCTGCTAAGAATTTGTAAAAACTCCCTTCAGCTTTATTTACCAAACTTGCAAAAACGCATCAGTTTCATTCAACACTTGCAAAACCGATTCAAACAGTAATTCAGTATAATACATTCAACATCAATTTGTAGAAATAGAAGCACGTTTCAGAAAAAGAAAGGATTTCTTTGTTTTACCTTTTTGAAGCTCCGTCGAAGAGATTCTGACGGGTATTTTTTCTCCTCCATTTTCACATCTCCGTGCTTGCTTGTTCTGAGTTAATTGTTACATGAGATTTCATGTTGTTGATATCATAATGCTGAGATTGTTGTTGAATTTTTACCTGTGAATATCATCTTGAAATCGATAAAATAGAGAAGGAGATTTTGTTGTTGTTATGAGGAAGTTTTATTGTTGTTAATCAGTTTCAGAAAATGAGAAGTGTGGCTTTTTGTTTGTTGTTTGGGCGTAAGCGAAGAGAGATTATTAGAGGCTATGTTAATTTGGTTGTTGTTTTCACGGTTAGAGAAGAGAATGATCGTTCTCTTTTGAGAGAGAGATAGAGAGAGAGAGGGCTTTTGTTGTTTTACTTACAATTAATTAAGAAAAAAATTTAATCACAACTTTTCCATTCCCTCATACAATCAGCGACGCTTTCCCCAAATTAGGGTTTCAAAACCCCTTGTCTTCCCTAATAGATCTTGGGTTGGGCTTAAATTATGAGCCCAAACTTAACTAATTCTTAGCTCTTGTATTAATGGAAGCGCCATAATACATGAATGAATAGATGGCATAGCGATTAGAGCGTGTGTGTGATATGCTTGAGAACCTGGGTTCAAGACCCACAGGGAGCATTTTTCTGTTTTTTCTTGTTTCAGTAAACTCATGGATTATTTTTGTTTCTTATTTAATTTGAAAGACTATAATAAACGAATGAACAATATGGCTTAGTGGCAAGGCAAAAGGGCTTTAACTTAGAGGGCATGGGTTCAACTCTTCACTTCACTACTTTTCTTTATTTTTTCTAAGTTTCATACAAAAACATTAGTAATTATTTTCTTATCCTTACAAAAATACCAAACATATTATTTAGGATTTTAATTCTTGAATCTTCGTTCATAGCTTTTATTTGATTTAATTTCCTTTACTTGATAAAATCACAAAACAATTTCCCTTTTTTATTTATTTTTTATTTTCGCGTAGTTTTCTATTTTCGTATTTTTTCGATTATTGTAACTACTTACGCTTTTTAATAGTTTAATTAGGCTTTTACTTTTCCCCCATTTTATGGTTTGTAACCCCATCCCCGAAGCATTGTAATAGCATAGATTTTATTTCCCGCACTTTACTTTCCGCACCTATAACTATGCTTGTATGTATATATAATTATATAATAATTAGGTGTGTATGGTAAGACATAAAATTAACCGTTAGATAACCCTAACCTCAAGATAAAATAACTGAATCGAAACACTATTCACACGCGCACCTCTAGAGTGACCTCGCTTGTTGCCTCGGAAAAACAATCATGTCCCTCGAACATAGGACGCTTTAGCAAAGACCCTAGATTAAAAGATTGTAGTCCCTCGATGACCCTTCAATGTTGCCTTCGATAAATGATATGAGTCCCTTACGAAAATTGCTTAAGCGTCCTACAAGTTGCCTTTATGACTGTATGATGACCCGCGCATGTCCCTCACATTCAATGATAGGGCTTCCTACTAACTAATGGTAGGATAGTACTATCTAAAGAAGGAGGAAAATAACGAAAGAACATTGAGTAGATAGATCGCGCGTAACCCCTTTCTCACAAACTAAAACAATTTTCACATATCACACTTTCAAAAACAACTACTTTCAAAACGCTTTATAAACACACTTGAGGACTGATATAAGGGTTATTATAAAGCAGATTGCATTACAATGGCATCTTCAAAATACTTTTCACAAAACAACACTCTTTCAATGAATATTTTTAAAACAAACATTTTGTATACATTCTCAACGATACGAGAACCATTATAAAATTGCCGTACTTAGGCATTTTCAAAATATTTTCAAACATACACAAACACGAAGCATTTTCAAAAGTGAGCTAGCGATTAAGAGCCCATAGATAACTACTAATGAAAAAGGTACTAACACCTTCCCTTTTTCATAACCTACCCCCCGAACTCAGAAAATTCTCGAAGGTCTTTCCTGTTCTTTTCACCCTTTCCTTTATTGGTTAAAAGAAAAGTCAGTGGCGACTCTTGCTATCCGCAACATTTGCGATAAAACGCAAAACCAAAAGTTTGTTCTCCCACCATATTACAGATTGAATTACGATACGAATGAAATATGAATAGAGAACCAAATGCAAAGAGTCAAACTCTTGAACCCTTTATTCCTGATTTTTCATTCCCAAACGGAAAATAAAATCTACAAATTAACAGACAAAATCAGTACTCTTGCCTGTCATTCATCTGATCTTTTGGGACCTGATGTAATGAAATGGAAGATGATCTAAAACTAACTCAATCCACAGATGAATGCAGACCAATAAGATCAAATGAAATGCCATAAACCATGACTTTTCACCTAAATCCTAATGAATGCTTTATGATTGACGGGATACATGATCAAAGGGAATTATCATGCTGTGATGATACTGATGAGAAACTCAAGATAAAATTTAGGATATGACATGAATTATGGTTAATCAAAGGATATTGACGATCACATTCACACACAAAACTACTTTTTCATTCACTCACTAACTTATACGTTTGAGTGTTAATCTTATCGATTCATCCTAGTTCATTGTATAACAAACTTACTCTACCACATAAGAGATATGTTTAATCCTATTTCCACATATTTCTAGTTCCAATTCAAAACAACTTTTATGTCGAGTAACTTTAAAGTGGTAGCTATAAATAATTGTGATGTAGAAAGAGTGTAAAATTACAATATTTATTTGAGAATAATATTCATACATTGTCCGTGTAAACTTTTTTTTAGACACTCAACCAATAAAAATTAATAATCTACTATATCATTAAAAGTTTTGAAAATTAAAAATAAAGTATAATTGAATGCAGGGTTGTGTGATTGATTGACTATGTTAGGAATTGTATTAAGATGCACCATAAGTCACACAAGTAAGAGAATCAAATAAAATAAATATAGTTTTATCTTCTTTCTTATCCCTTCAACCATGTCGCTTCTGCAACTCCCCGCTAAGCTCTCAACCCCATTCCTCACCGGCAATGGAATCGCCGTCAACCGTTTCTCAAACCCCACTTCCTCAATCTCCCTTACCCAAACCCGTTCCCATCCGTTCCCGGCAATCAAAGCCGTGCAAACAATGCAAGGAAAGGTCGTATGCACCACCAACAACAAGACGGTGGCGGTGGAGGTTACTCGTTTGGCAACTGATAGGAAATACAAAAAGCTAATCAGGATTAAGAAGAAGTACCAGGCTCATGACCCTGAAAACGGTTTCAAAGTTGGGGACATTGTTCAGCTTCATAAAATTAAGCCTATTAGCAAGAACAAGTGCTTTCTCGCTCTTCCTGCTCCTGCTCGGAACTCTAAAAAGGGTAACTCTTCCGGTGAGCTTGACATTCCGCTTCAGTCTCAGCAAGAGGGAGAGAAACAGTCCAAGGATTAGCCTTGCAATCTCGTACTCTTGCTATTTAATTTTATCGCAATTTTTTTCGGTGTTTTTAGGTTATGTAATTTGCATTGTAACTTTCATAATGAAGGTTGCAGTTATTTTGTACTATTATGAAGAAATTGGAATTGAGAAATGAATGTTGATGTTGTTGTTTATTGTGAAAAAAAATCTTAATTGTTTATTATGCTGTTTGATAATTTCATTGTTTAATTTGAAGGGTAGGTGTTTGATGAAATGTTGGGTTAGGTACATGGGTTTTATTGGTTTCTATGAGAGTGTCATCCTTTGTAGGGAACCCAAATTTTTAGGTTGGGTGTCAATTATTGGAAGAATTGTTCCATCTAGGATTCTTCAATGTTCGATTTTCTAAATTTTTCTGTCATAGAGATTGTAGTTTATTGGTTAAGCTGGAACCATCTAGTTTCTCCCTCCAGATTTTTGTTTCCATAGGTTCCGGCTTTGAAACTTGATTAGTATACTCAACCCAACATTGCGTAGTTGTGGATGTTTAGAATTTGAACTGTAATGTAAGAATAGTTTGCTTTCTGCATAAAGGTGGACTGCAATCTGCAGAGGTTAATTATCTAAACAATGGCAAACGAGAAGTGCTGAACCAGAATTGTGGGTGAAGTAACTGCTCATGAGTTATGGCTATCATTTTGAGACAATAGTTAGCGATAAAGAAGTTCCAATTGAGAAGATTGCTTCAGAAGACAATACGGGAAACGTGTTTACTAACCCTTAATCCACTTTTAAATCAAGGTTTTAGAATTGATTGGACTTAATCAACTTCTATGGAACATAATTCTATAAGCGGGAGAGAAGTGCAATGGTGATTGGATTAATCGTCTTCTCTAATTTGGAGTCACGGAGGAGATTTTTTATGGATGACTCTATATCAATTTTGGAAGAGTTCATTCTTGGGCCTTTTGTTTTTACCTTGGGCTTTTAAGAGACATGAGTGTTAGTGAGTTTCATATTTCTCAACTTCTCTTTTACTTTGTCTAAGGAGTTTTTCGATTACTGATTTGAACTTAAGTACTTACGAGATTGTTTGAGAGAACTTAAGAAAACAAGATATAATATGTCCATCAGCTCTTCAGAATAGCCTATAAAAATATTTTTTAGTTTAAATGAAAACAATTTGACTTCATTTTATCTTGTGATATAAGAATAACTTATATACAAACACTTATATGATAAATGTTTACGTTATAAGCGTTTAATTAAGTTGTTTATCCTAAAGATGGCCTAAGTCCCTGCAATAGAAAATAGAGATAAAGGGAAGCAACACTTCACATTCTTTACAATTTTTGTGTGCTTTATATTGTATCAGAGAATAAACTAGAGAAAGAGCGAACACCAGAAAGATTAGAGATCAAGAGTTTAAGGGAAAATAGAGAGGAAGCTTGGATTCTTTATTGTTATTTGTCGTGAACATAGAAAGGGGCATCAAGAACCAAGGGATTATCTGTTTATAACTAGACCAAAAAGATTTCATTTATAATGGAGCTACTCTCTCTCAAAGATGTGTGTCACATTGACTGAACCTTATAAATCACTAATTTTAGTAGCAATGCTGGTTTTTAATGCATAATTGTACTCATCGGCTGCTATGTTTTTATTTTTGTCTCTACCTGCATTTAGTGTTCCTGTATGCGCAATTTGGTTCATAGCAGTTCTTCAATTCTTTTTTCTGTGCAATATTGCATTGCTGCTTTTATGGTTTGTTTTACTGCATAACTTTGTTTCTGTGTAATTCTGTTTTTATGGTTTAGCCGAAATATGGGTTGTGAGATTCGGCTGTATACGAATTGCTAGTTTGTTTACAGGTTGCTGGTTTGATATAATTGTGTGATGAGAACAAACATTAACAATAGCAATGTGAGCCATCAAATCAACGACAAAAGCCATAAAGCGCAAATAAATCATCCACATAAGGAACTAACAAATAATGTGATAATTATATTCAAGAATTGGTTAAGGTTTTTTGTCTCTCTTTCTACCTAGAGGAGAAACACTAGCTATTTTGACCAAACCGAATACTAACCAAAAAAAGAAGAAAAAAAACAGAAGATTATTATCACTAATAATTTAAATCTATGCATCAATTGCCTGATTTTGACTAACCATCTTCACAATGTAAACTCGTTCTGATGTGTCTCAATGTACATGATACAAGATTGTTAACAGAGTCCACAGACTCCATTGTTAATTTCGCTGTAGGAGAAGCATTGGTAAGAATCTGGAATGCTATTGTAAACAAAGATCCTCCCTCGGTATTTTTCTCCTCCCGCCTCGAAGTAATTACCATTGGCCTTGACTCTAAGCCATCAGGAACAATTGAGAATCCCGACGGCAGTATTGCAAGATTGCTCGAATCGCATCCTGTCATCACAGACTGAATTCCAGTAATGTCCACAGGAGCATACACCACCATTGATTCATAAGAGTTTGTGCAGCTATCTTGCAGTATCCACATATTGTTCTCTTTAGATTTAATCGTCTGCAAGGTGAGAAAAACAATCCAACATTTTACTTGCAAGTTAAAATCATGTTTTAAATTTAACTTGCATTTTGTTTTAAGTGTTCTGTTTTTAACATTTAGCAACAACTTACTTGGATTGTTACTGCATTGCCTCTGTCTTGTCCTTTGGCTAAATTTGCAATAGACTGCACTGTTCCGCCACTAGACATGATATCCCACTGTCATAATGATAATAATCGTCAACACAAATCATTATGTCATTTGTTATTTTACTACTTTCTATATTATCTCAACGATGCGATTGAACTTATTTTACGCTGTCTATGTATTTGTACCTCAGTTCGACGAGCTTCGTCCCTCAAGAAATCGAACAGAACATTATGATATACAGGCAACCATACAGAAGAAACTGCGCAAAGTATCAACCCTAGAGATTCACCGGGATCATTCAAATTCTTTCGAGAACTAATCCTTATGTCTTCTCCAGTTTTACTAGTAACTTTTGTCCATGTATGGAAGCTTGATGCACTAATAGCTTGACAGAAACTCCATGTCATTCTTTGTGCCAATTTTAAAATGCTTTTTCTCCCAGCCAATGTAGCAACACCTAACATTTTTGTTTTCATCACTAATCTATATAGTGCACAATCACTTAACATAAAACCTTTTTATTTATAGTTAGAGTTCATTACTCACTCACCAGTTGAATCTTTCATGGGGACATTTGTTGCCATGAAGAAAACTAGACGTTCGCATTGAAGTTGAAGCGTCGCAATCCAATGCCTTGCCCCGAAAGCTAGGCCACTGTTGACAATGGTTCTAAACATTGAATGAACTGTGCTCCTTTGACACTCTAAATGCTCCACCCACGTTACCTATTAAATGTTTATTTTATGTTCCATATGTAACAAAAATGGAAACAAATTTGGAACTTGAATTGGTAATATGTTACATACTTTGCAATGACCATTTGACTTATCTTCAATAATGCAACCAGATGGACGTTTTCTGCATTTCATGAGGGACATGTCAATGTTGTCTTCTACTTTGTCTATGGACACGTCAACTATTGCCCATTTTTCACCACTTAATTGTTTGCAATATCTGACAAAATACACTTCTCTAGTGGCCACCATTGGTGTTAGCATTTGCAGCTCAGCAAACATCTGTGTACCCAATACAAAATTAAGGTTAGAGTTTTATACTAATTTCATGTCCAACTTAATTGGATCTTCTAATTTTTTTTTCAAATTGTTTAGTGGATAAAATTTCACCCTTTTAAAAGTATAAGTGACGTGTCAGCGCTCTTGCAATCAGATGTCCTGACACAACTAAGTACTAAGTTAGGTGACTTAATGAAACTATAATTAATATCATATACATTAATTTCAAAATATTATTATATTTTACTTGGAGAAAAATGTATATTCTATGTGAGAAAAAGAGATATACACTTACAACATTAAATATTTTTACATTGTCAATCAATAAGAGACATGTATCCAATTAAAAAAAAAATTATTTTTAAAATACTGATATGACGTGACAAATATAAGAATTTTGATTGATTATATATGTAATATTTGTTTACATTGTCAGTGCACTACCTTTAAACTCATTATACTTCGATTTTATAACAATAGAAAATATATCAATATAGCTAATAATTACAATTTGTTAAAAATTACATTCTCTTTATTATATTTGTTATATTTCTCAATATATATGAAAAATATTAATTGACATTAATAGAAAATAGTTGTTTAAGATTAGTGTATACAAATAAAAAAACAAACAATTATATATATTTGGGTCAAATTATTTAATTCCTAGAATTTAATTTGTATAATACACACACACACATATATATATATATATATATATATATATATATATATATATATATATATATATATATATATATATATATATATATATATATATATATATATATATATATATATATATATATATATATATATATATATATATATATATATATATATATATCCTTACCTTTCCACATAATCCATTATTAAAACATAAATTATTGAAAAACTTGAACATCTATATAACCATAGATATACAAAGAAGTAGAAGAATTAAGATTTTGAGTTGGACCTAAATCTTGTAAAGTGATATACATCAAACACTTGTAAATCCACCACATTGGGTAACATGTCATTGAGAAAGAAAGAGATTCCAATTAAGATGAATAGGGCAAGATATGTATAAGAAGAAAGTGCCAAGTGTTTCTAAAGTCACAATGACATTTAACTTTTCATATTTTATGTGTCTTTATCTATATTTCTACATATGAAATAGATAAATAAAGATTGTGGTTAAAGAAGAGGAAAAGTTGACAAGAACTTTCACTTCCCAAAAGAAAGATTAATGCATGTGTTAAGAAACCAAAAGCATAGATTTTTGTTGGTGAAAATCAAAAGTGTAAAATTATACCACAATTAATTCAATTTTCTTAACTTAAACATTTTCAAATATACTAGTAGTAGAAAACATCATTTAAAATTACGAGGTACCATCATTTTCTTTTGCTTGTCATGTTTTGGACCACTTTGTAAAATATAATATCCATATGAATGAATCCGTGTATGAACTGTTCCTTTCAGATTCATAGCAAGAAATAAATTTTACTTTTCATCTTAGATATTACATTCAATCTACTATTCCATAAAGTTGTATCAAACTTTCATTAATGTTTTTTTCTTTCAAAACTCAGTAGGATTGACTATTTCGAGAGACCAATTCTACTGATCATTGGCGTGACAATCAATAGTAATCAGAGTTACTATGTATAGACCAAACTCGGTCGCAAGATCAAATACTAAGATTTAAAAAAAAATTAATTAGTAATCGACGTCTAACATGTGAGTACTATAAACTTCAAGATAACGAGTTTGATTCTTTTCAATAAAAAATCTTACCAGTTGCGCAACACCATCATTGTTAGAAACTTCTCCTTTGCATATAATATCAACTGTTGCAGCTTTAGATATTAAACATGGAAACATCTCCTTCCATTGATTCTGCAAAATGACACAATAAATGTCTTTTTAACTTCCACATGACAAAACAAAAATAGTATTTTTTTTATACACATGCAAAAAAAAAATTCTCGTCACAATGACACTTAAATGATGTTAAAATTCTAGGATAGCTTCTAAAGAAATCACATACTTTCGTTGATGATCCTGTCAAACTCACCGTAAATTCAATATATAAAAAAAAGACTATTGAGATGTATATAATCATATTATTCATATGGTTGAAGAACATGATTCAATATATGTAAACATTAATTTGTGTCTTACAGCATCAAGAAAACATTGGACAATCCTATGAATATCTGCAAAAATAACTCCTGTATCTCTTGAAGCTTCAATGGATCTCTTTGTTCTACCATCATCTGAATTTTCACCTCCAAACTCCTTCAAATATTCATCATAGTTAAGTATTTCTCGACCGGTCTCAAAGCTACGTAGCCACAGTGGTTCACCCATTGTAGCCATCTTTATAAGCTCTTCCATTGCTTGGTTTACCATATCCATTATCCTTGACTCATCAAGACCAAAAATTCCAGTGTAAAAATCCAAAGAACTTTTCATATTCTCTTGATCATGACTAGTAGAGCATGAAGGTGACATTGTTCCAGGTGCATATTTCCCTAACGCCGCTCGAAGTTTCTCTACCTATATCATTGTGAAGTAGAATTCACCGAGCGTAAATTAATAATAGACATGATAAATAAACTAGTAGCTAAGAAATGTTAAAGTATACTTAAAATAAAATTAACCTCGGATTTGAGTTTGGCATTTTCAATACGAAGTTGTTGTTCTTCAGTTGGCATGGAACCATCTCTGTTTGTGGTAGGTACCCCACAATTAGGGCAACAAGCTTTGTTTATGGTCTCTCTTAGGGTCTTGTTTTTCTCCCTTAGTTTCTCTATTTCTGTTTTCAACAATGAATTTTCATGTCTCTCTTGTATTGCCTGGAAAAAAAAACCATCATATTTATGTTGAATACTATTGTTAAATTCACATAATAAAGTTTAAAAAAATGATCAAAATGAATTTGATCTAAATATTACTACTAGACATGAATATCAGAACACGACACTGACACATCAATCCCGATAATAATTTAAAAATAAATAAAAAAATAAAATATAATTATAAAAGTTGATATTAATTTCGAGTACAGATACCGATACAAACACAATTTTTTTTCTCCAGAGAAATAATAATACCTTGATTTGAGTTCTACGATTTTGGAACCAAAACTTGACTTGTCTTGGAGCAAGTCCTAATTGCTTGCTGAGTTGTTGTCTCTGTTTTTCATCAGGATGTGGCGATTCTTTGAAAAGCCTACAATATTAGATTCATTATTTATTTCACCTGTTAAAACTAATATTCAATAATCGCACTTATGAACGATATTCAATAATAATATATATTTTTTTATTGAAAATGATAAATAGAATGAGACAAATAAGAAAGATATAATGACATGTACTAGTGTATTATTATGAATTATGAAAGAAGAGTATTAATTGTGATTCAAACAAAATAGGCACACACATAGAGGAGAAGAAAAAACATAACAGAAAAGATTATATTATACGCACGCTTCCATGAATCTGATTTGTTCTGCAGTGTGTCGGTGATATTTCTTCCTTTTCTTCTTCTTGTTCTTATTGTCTCCATCACAACCTTCATCATCTTCTTGTTCATCTCCTTCAAAATCTTCCTCTGACTTGGATTTTGATGGACCTGAATACTCACTGCTCATTTCCTCCATGCGTTCCCCGCCGCCTATAGTACTTCCTTCCTCTCCTTCCTCCACCTCCATGTTGCTAGTAGTCGCTCCTTCAACCTCCGCCGCCGCAGCACCATGGCGGAAAATCCCCGCCTGAAAAAGAAAATACTATTAGTCATTTTACAACCAACTTTTACCTCCTAGTGAAGGTAAATCATATATTTTCTCTGTCCATGTCGATATTATAAATAACATGAACATGGACGGAGAAAATATACGAAAGAGAAAAATTTGCATGGTTGAAGAAATGTGTAGCTACAAGACTAAGAGAGAGAGCTGGAGAGGGAAAGAAGTCTTTGGCAGGAGGAGGATTGTTGTTGGACATGTCTGCAGCACACATTGAGAACGTTTGTGTGTGGTTTTTGAACGGTTGTGTCATTTAAGTTTTTGTTGTTGTGTAGGATACATAATCTTAGAGAGAGTGTGTGGGAATGGCTACAAGGGTAGGGGCAGTGAAGAAAAGAGGATAGAGACTTAGGTGAAGGGTTTGCACAATTTAAGAATATAAAAACAAAAGGAAGAAAAACGCTCTGTGTTTTTTTATTTTATTTTATTCCACATTAATAATTGTTTTTGTTATTATGTTTATAGTTTTGTTTGGTCCTTGTGTAAAATGTGAAAGGAGAGTCAAGAGTTGCCGGTAGGATTGAATGTTAGATAAAATAATATGAAGGGAAAGGTAAGTCAACAACCAACTAACACTTACAAGTTGAATTTATGGTTCCAACGGTTTTCTTAGTTTATTTTCTAAGATTACCATGACTAATCTAGCTTAGCATCCATTTGATTCCACATGTATTTGATTTCGCATGTGTTTAAACATAAATAAAAGATAAACGAATAATAAGTTGAGTTGTTATACGTCTCATTATTGTGTTTTTTTAAAAAAATGATTTTTATAGTGTTATATAATTTTGTGTAAAAAAATTTTATAAAGAAATTTTTTTAAAAAATTTCAATTGAAAATTTGGTTTGAATAGTTATTCTTAAAATATTATTTTAGGTATTTCATCTTTTTATTAATTTTTTTTTGGATATTAAAATTTTAAAAAATCACTTAATTTTGAAGCTATTTCAAATAGATTTTCATAAAAATAATTTTTGAAATATAACTTTTTGAAAAAATTACGATTTTGACTATGTGTTGATCTTCAATAATGTATGTTTATGTTATAGATGTTAAAATTAGTATTTCAATTTAGAAAAAACAAATATAGAAAAACTTCTAATATTTTGAAAAACGTTTTTGCAAAATTTATTTTCAAAAATATAAAGAAAAAAATCCATTTTTTTAAAGAATCAATTTTCTTAAAAAAATGTATTAATTGATCTAGGAGATGTAACATTGTTATGTATAAGTCTTTAGACTCTACAAAAGATTCACTGATGTGCTAGAAAACCAAAAATGCAAATGCAAATGATATGAAAATATGTTGACTGTTGAAACACACTTTCTCACGTTGACTTGTATTTTATTCAACATCTTCGTAATTTTTTTTGAACTGACCCATTTCCATCTCTTTCTTGGGTTTCTTCTTCAAAATTGGGTACATTGGTTTGATGTAATCAGATTCCTCAGGATTTGACTTATTCAAAATCTGTTTTTTATTTCTTTTGAAAGATGAGTTTTTATCAATAAATTGATCGAGTGTGTATTCTCTAACTTCATTGTCACTATTGTCCTCACCTTTTTTTTCTTCAACCTCCTTTTCAACTACTATTTATTTTCCAATCTTTTTCTCGACCTCACTTGATTCTTTATTTTCCTCACTCACTTTTGGGTTCGAAGGTACCACTCTATTTCTCAACTCAATGACTTTGCAACTTTCATTTTTCAGGTTATCTACAGTGCTACCAATAAATGTCTCAATTGAACTAGTTTGTGCTTGTATTTGTCGAGATAATTGACCAATTTTTACCTCTAAGTTATTTCTTAAACCTTCAGTGTTTTTGTTCATTGTGATTTGATTCTATCTCATTACCCTTTGGGTTTTAAACATGTTTTCTTGAGTTTTATTAACATATTCAAAACTTGTATGCGTTGATTTCATAAAGTTTGACAAGGTTTCCTTTATAGGTGATGGTTTGTGTTGAGGTGCTTGAGGAACTTGTTGAACTCCTTGATTGACATTCATGGGTTGATTGTTGCTCCATTTGAAATTGAGATGATCTTTTCAACCATGATTGTATGTGTTGGAATAATGATTATTCTTTTGAAAATTTGCATACTGAGCTTCAGAACTCTCTCATTTTGGTTTACAGTGAAATTATTTCCCTTAGGGGACAAATGTCGAACGTGATGTCATACCAACTGGTTCGACAAGTTAAATCAGAATCACCGCAATTAACATAATCTAACTTGTACAAGATGACGGAGTAGAAAAGCAATAAAGAACACCATAATTGGTAACCTAGTTCAATGCAATAACACCTATGTCTGGAGGACTGGCTTCCAACCAAAGAAAGAAAATTCACTATTAGTAGTTTAGTACATTTAGTCTTACAAGCAACGAAAAATTCTATGTTATTCAATGCCTCTTCCTAACACTATCAAATGACTTTCTATTTAGGACCCCCATAAATATGATACACTCTCTCACCTTCTTTTCTCTCAATTACTAACCTCTTAATGTTTCAATCACTAAACCCTAATGACCAACTTCAATAAACAATGTGAATGATGTTGAATTTACAACTCAACTATACAAATCTACAAATATGTGTCATACCCCAAATTTTCCCTATTGATTTCTAACTAAATTATTCCTTATTTATGTTATTCTTTTTTTGTTGTCAAATTATTGTGGAGTGTAAGTTGATAAAGGGGGTGGGTTTTAACAAAATAGTTCACAGGATTTCTAAATCAGAAGTACTCATGTAAACTTGATGGCCCATGTGGTTTGCACTTACAATAAAAAGGGGGTATATTGTTACAATATGAGGGTGTGGTATTTTGGGCCATCAAAATCTGATAGTCCATTAAGGATTGTTTCGTTTGCTTTAAGGAGGGGTGCACATTTCTTGAAATCAATTGGGCCCATTTCAAATTTTGAAACAATGGTCCATTCTCGTTGTGTTCATTTTTGCTACGTTTGGTTTTTTACTAATTTATAATATTTAGTTTATTTTCAAAATTTTATTATTCATTAAAACATCAATAATTATAATTAAATATTTATTTAATTTATGATATTATTATGTTAACCGGGTCAACCCAAAAGGTTGAAACCCTAAGCGCCCTGTTGTTCTCCTTCAAGCCCAAAAACCAGGCCCAAACCCAATAAACGTACACTGTATAGATTCAACAGGGAAAAACACATTTGAAACTAAAACAAAACAAGATCTTCATAAATCAAATCTTGGAGTAAATCAAATCTGGAAATTAATATTTGTTTTTATTAACTAAAAATGAACCTACACAATAACAAGGTCCAAGTACATATTACAAAACCCTAATTTCAAACAAAATCATTCTAAATAAATTTACAACAAATTGAATCCCTAAAATAAATCTTAACCTTCCTAATTCCTAAAATCAATTACAAATTGTAACGACAATCATAAACAAATATTTCTAATCTGTCTAAAATCTAAGCTATAAAAAACCTAAGATTCTAAGAAGAAGGGGGAGAAAAAAATATACAAAAGAAGAAGAGAAGAAGCATAGGCCGCACATCAATCTTCTTGAGATATGGTGCCACCGTCACCTTCACGCCAACATCATCGTACCTGTCAAACAAAAAGAGAGGAGGAGATTAGAAGGAGAATTGAAATCCAGAAAAGGAATTAAATATGACCATAATCATTGCAGAGAGGTAAGCCTAATACTTAGCTTTTAGGGTTGATTTCACGACGATTAATGTTAAAATGTATGATTGGGGTTTAATTTGGGGTTTTAGGGTTAGATTAGGGTTAGGGTTCTACATACTAGGGTTAGGGTTCTTAAAACCAGGATTATGGTTGGGTTTTAGTTTGATTAGGGTTCATTATGAACCCTTATGGTTATTAGGGTTCATAGAACCCAGGTGAAGATACGATGGTGGGGTATGAATGTTTGAAGTTTCTGGTTGAATGTCAACCAGAAAACTGGGTAGAAGGCCTCCGAAAGGATTTCCTAATACAACAAAAACTCTATACGGAGATAAGGGCTGAAAAAATATATTGGGAGGAGCAATACGTAAAGATTACCAAAGCAGGAGAGGATAATCATAAGAATATTCCTGACCTCTACCGTGAGTACCGGTTCTACAAAGACAAGCATGCAAGACTCGCCTTCTTAGCCAACAATCTTATTGGCAACATCTCTAGGAGTTTGAGAGATGCAAAAAATGTGATGTTCCCTCTCTCAAAAGATGTTGAAGACTTCCTCAAGCTTTGTAGGACAATGGTCGATGGTTTCAGAGCAGAAATCCGAAGGCCCACTTAGAAGACTTTTGTTTCCCTTTGATTTTTTCTTCTAGCAAATTTTAATGTTTTAAGTTTGAATATTTCTCAATATCTGAATTGTATTCTTTTTAAAGACAATTACTATTTCAATAAAGGCATTTGTTTCCGTATCTCGTTTATATATATATATATATATATATATATAATATATATATATATATATATATATATATATATATATATATATATATATATATATATATATATATATATATATATATATATATATATATATATATATATATATATATATATATATATATATATATATATATATATATATATATATATATATATATATATATATATATATATATATATATATATATATATATATATATATATATATATATATATATATATATATATACCCAAGTGAATTAGATATTAAAAAACGAAACCCTTAGCATGTTCATACACATTCATGCATTCACGAACATTTGCATCCCATAAATTCATATAAAAAAAACTCATAATTTTTTCAAAAACATTATCCAGTTAAACCATTGGTAGAAGAAAAGCACCGCCTCTCCGACCACCCTATCAAACAAGAGTCCATCAAGAAAAAGTGATGGAACAAATTAAAGAGAATCAAGATATATTCAAGGAGGATCTTGAGCAAGTCAAGGGTAATGTTGAGTAGATGAAGGGAGACAACCCATACACATGCTACTGAAAATCCCTTGGTGCTCAATCAATATAAATACCTTGAAGAAAGGTTGAAGGCTGTGGAGGGTTATGATGCTTTCGATGTCAACGCTCTCGAGATGGGTCTAGTTCTAGATGTTGTAATCCCTTCGAAATCCAAAGTACCAGACTTTGGAAAATACAAGAAACTCACATGTCCAAGAGACCATCTATGCATGTATTGCAGAAATATGCACGCATATGCTC